AGTATGACTCAGTCCCTGTAAGCCGTAACTAGTCTCTCTTCACAGTATGGCTCAGTCCCTGTAAGCCGTAACTAGTCTCTCTTCACAGTATGGCTCAGTCCCTGTAAGCCGTAACTAGTCTCTCTTCGCAGTATGGCTCAGTCCCTGTAAGCCGTAACTAGTCTCTCTTCACAGTATGGCTCAGTCCCTGTAAGCCGTAACTAGTCTTTCTTCGCAGTATGCCTCAGTCCCTGTAAGCCGTAACTAGTCTCTCTTCACAGTATGGCTCAGTCCCTGTAAGCCGTAACTAGTCTATCTTCACAGTATGGCTCAGTCCCTGTAAGCCGTAACTAGTCTTTCTTCGCTGTAAGGGTCAGTTCCTGTATGTTGTAACTAGTCTCTCTTCGCAGTTCGGCTCAGTTCCTGTATGCCGTAACTAGTCTTTCTTCGCTGTACGGGTCAGTTCCTGTATGTCGTAACTAGTCTCTCTTCGCAGTATGGCTCAGTCCCTGTAAGCCGTAACTAGTCTCTCTTTGCAGTATGGCCCAGTTACTGTATACCGTAGCGAGTCTCTCTTCACAGTACGGCTCAGTTCCTGTAAGCCGTAACTAGTCTCTCTTCGCAGTATGGCTCAGTCCCTGTAAGCTGTAACTAGTCTCTCTTCGCAGTATGGCCCAGTTACTGTAAGCCGTAACTAGTCTTTCCTCGCTGTACGGGTCAGTTCCTGTATGTCGTAACTAGTCTTTCTTCGCAGTTCGGCAAGGCTTGTGGAGCGCTCATGGTCAGGCGTGGTGAGACCCTACTGAGAGCGGTCCGAGGAGGGAAAAACCATAAACTGCTGACAGGGTGTTGGGCGGGCAGGACTCATAAATATAAGATTTCAACAAAGGCTCTCCTTTCTGATGAAAACCAACAAAAGTGCCACTGTGGCACAAATGGCAGATAATTTTGATGATGATCACGAGAGTAATATGTCACACAGGCATCGAGCCCTGATGCAGAAGGGGTTATGTAGCCACGGAATGGACTTATCAGTCCTTGACATGCACTCGTCTTACAAGATATTACAATATTATTCACTCTACATAATGCTTATCTGATAATACATGCATTTTCAAGTAGTTAATATAGGTTTGCATGTATGTAAATGGGGCTGTCAGTTGTCAGTGGCAATTAAATGAAAAATAAATACATGTGTAATTAAGTATAACCCCTATTCTCCTGGGAGCACCATTACTCCCAGTGATATGACTGGGCTGTATCGTCTCCACTGGCTCTGCAGGATGTCACGGGAAAGATCTTGGACCGCTGGGCGATGATGACCTTCGAGGAGGAGGTTGCGACACTGCAGCAGTTCCTGCGCTTTGGTGAAACCAGGTCCATCGCGGAGCTCATGGCAGCCCAGGGGGGGCTGGCTGGTCCCTTGTCTGATCACAGCAGTGAATTATACATGGGGGCCACCCCCGAGAACAGCGACCCCTGCTGGCCAGGACACCCTGCTGCTGCCAGGAAGGAGCCTGCTGGGGAAAGGCATCCCTTCAACATGACGTTGCTCACCAACATGACCTTTATGTTTCCTCTCCACTACCTGAGCTCAACACCCACCCCACTGCCATGCTCCTCCCCTACTGCCAGGCTGTTCCAGCCAGGGCCAGGCCCGAAAGAGGAAGATCCAGACACGAAGAGCAACTTTGTTCTTTTTACCCCAGAAGAGGAGAGGAACCGCCAACCTGCTCCAGCCAAACTAGCTGTCACCGCTGCTTCGGAAACCCCTTTGACCTTTGACCCCATGCACATATTCCCCAAGAAGAAGACTAGAGCCACGGAAAATAGCAGCAACAGTGGAAGTGGCTTCAAGAAGGGCAGGGTCTTCTGCAGCACCTGCAAGAAGACCTTCTACGACAAGGGCACGCTGAAGATCCATTACAATGCCGTGCATCTGAAGGTGAAGCATTGCTGCACTGTACAGGGCTGCAACATGGTGTTCAGCTCATTGCGCAGTCGCAACCGACACAGTGCCAACCCCAACCCGCGCCTGCATACGCCCTTGAACCCCAACACCCGGATGGGGACCCTAAGGGATGGCTCGCACACCAGTGCACCACTAGGTGGAGAGAAGAGATCCAATATGAATAAGAGATTGAATATGGCTCCTATCTGCCCCCCAAAACAGGCCACCCCCACTGAGTACACACCTCATGTCTCTGTCCCCAAGCCACAGGGCCAAAGCGAGACACTGTCCACAAATCTGAGGACAAAACAGCCAACTGTGCGCCTCCACTGCAGTGACCTTGGTTTGCCGGTGGAGGGTGCAATCACGCTAGGTGTCCACCCCTCCCAACCTAGTGTGATCTCATCAGGTCCTGCGGATCAACAGCGTGCCCTCGGCCCTGTAACAAAGAAGAAGCCTCGTAAGTCAAGCATGCCCATAAAAATCAAGAGGGAGATCGTGGAGAGATGTTCAGACAACAAGGTGGCCACTGTGCGGGAGAATCTGGATCTGAGATTAAGCACAGAACTGAGCATCAGCATGGACACTGCATCCTCTGACCCCACCAGGAATGATCGTCTTAGTAAACTGCCACAAATACATGGCCACAAGTGCAGTGCCTGTGAGCAACTGGAGAACCAGGCCCATGCTGAGGATAAGTGCCAGACAACCTCAGAGGGGCTGTTCAGAATATTAACCAATCACATGCAAGGCTCCGAGGCTTACACCAAGGACAGCATTGGTGACCTCCCTCACCTGGTGTGCCTCTGCCAAGGAAATGCACCCAACCATTGCATCAAGTCATCCGAAAGCTCATACACAATTAGGACACATTACTGCAGCGCCTGCGTAGAGCAGATGCACCTATGCGCCATGCACTGCTGCACTGCAGTCGATCCCACCTGGGGAGGCATGCGCAGGTGAGACCTGCCTCATTACCCAAATATGGATGTCGTCTGCGCCTGCTTTCACACGGACGACACAATCGCTCCACTCCAGCCGCCAAGGACTCCACTGCGCAGCTGCCCTGGTTCAGCTGCATCTCTGTGACTCCCGTAGGAGTGGGGTGCCTGGGATTGGTGGAATCGGCTGGATCCTGCATCATCTGGTAGCCAGCAGTGGACACTTCAGGCTAATGAAGTACAGGGGTGTGAAGATCCCAGGGCCTAGCAATACTCCTTGCATCAGGAGCAGAACCTCCTCCAGCATCGCCACGGCAACAGCGTATGGGTTGTATGTTAAAAAAATCATATCAAAGTTTGTTTACTTATTAAATCTACAACTTTACAGGAAACAGCAGCAGACGTAGGCAATAAAATAAGCTCGCAGTCAAGTGAAACTAAGGTGTTTTTAAATCTATAGACACCCACAGTGGATGAAGCAATGCATGCAGTTTCTGCACAGAACAAAGGTCTGTCCAGGGGGGGCTGTTTGCCTGACCTCTGGGGAGGCCATTAGTGTGAGTGTGTCTGTGAGTGTGCTTGTAAGTGTGATTGTGAGTGTAACTGTGAGTGTGAGTGTGTTTGCTACAAAGAGGCCGATTTAGGGAACACAGTAAATATTTGTCCAAAGTGGATACAAAATGTAAGCAAATAGTACATGTTTCGCTTAGCAGAAAACTATACACACACACACACACACACACACAGTCATGGAAAAAATGAATAGACCACAAATCTGCATTTTTAAATCCTGGTTTAATCGTGGTTCTGCTGGCCGAAAGCTTTGCTAAGAAGCAGGCTGCTTCCAGGTTCAAAATTTCTAAGACCGCAGTGCACAAGAAAAAGGTGAAGCAGCAGGCACTGGGAATGACCAGAAACCAGCCAGGTAAAGGGCGGAAGAGACTTTCTATCAGCAGAGGTGACCGTTAACTTATCAGACAGTTTCTCATGAATCGGAGGATGACATCAAGTGAACTTCAAAAGGAACGGGGAGCATTAAGTGCAGGTGTGAGGTGCACTGACAGGACAGTTCATATCAGGATCCTACAAGCAGGACTGAAGTCCCAAAAAGCAAGGAAGAAGCCCTTCAGTAATGAGGAACAGGGAAGAACCAGGCTGCAGTTTGCAATATGATTATTATTATTATTACTATTATTATTATGCCCATAAATTGAGCTATGGTCTGCAGCTATTTATATATATATATACATATATGTCTGTGTGTTTATATGTGCAGACTTATGTACAGCTACAGGAGTGCTGTGATTAATAATGTAAAAAAATAAAACTTGACAACAGCACATGTAGCCATATGGTTGCTGTTTCATGTTCCCTCGATAGGCGCTTTCACACCGAAGCAGCGGAACCTGGTCCCTGGCCCGTATCGACCTGGAGCTCTTGTAGCTCCTGGCCACTTTCGTGTGTCGCGTTCCCACTGCAAAACAGGAACTGGGATGTTTGTGCTTAATAAGCATGGGAGACGCAAAAGGTTTGTAGGTTAAACTCCACACATTTCATACAACGCTACAGCACCATGCCAAGACAAAGGAAAAAAGTTGTTTTGTTAGTTGAGTATAAAGAGTCACGGTCACAGAGTACTCACTGGTTTGGTGAAACAAAACCTTGGTCTGGATGTGTTCTTTCTCGACCTGTACTTTCCCCTTCTGTCTGCAGTGCAATACAGTGAGTAACTTCCACAGCACTGCTGACCGGGTAGGTTGGGGTTGCGGCGGTTAAACTTCTCGTCGGCTAATTTTACTGACTGAATAGCAGAACAACAGATTTCTGTGGCGCGCATCATTCACAGGTGTCAGGGAGCTGCTGTCAATTTGCGGGAGGCTTCCGGAACTTCCAGCAATGGTTGGATGTCTGGAAAACCCTGCCATTTCCCTGCCTCTGTGGCTGACGTTTGTCCCCCTGTACGTACTGCATTATTTTGTACTACTTCACAAGGGAAGCATCACTGTACGGACCCTTGCAAACAGCCTCGAGTTTCAGAGATGGCCTCACCTGGTTTGTCCATTTGGTTCCCTGAGACATGAGGTCCAGCTGGTCGTTCTGCCTGTGTTTGTTTGGCCTGGTGGGAAACTCCGGAGCTCAGCTCACTCCCCAGTGACCCTGCAGCTGCCTTTCACCTGTGATGAAGCATGGCGTGTCATGGTTGATGTGGCATCTCCTACCTTCCTATTGGCTAGTTTTAAGGCTGCACAGATGCGCTATTAACTCTGTCCTAAAGCTCTTAATGAGGCAAGCTGTATTTACAGAGAGGGCACGTGTTTAGCATATATGATACGGTGTCAGGTTCTCCTGTTTTTACACTGTCAATAGGACACTGTCAACTGGTTGAAAGAGTTAACAATGTACTGAACTGTTTTTAATGGTGCCAAGTTAACTTGCACAAATGTACTACTACTACTGAATTGCACGTCTACTTTTAAATCTACTGAAATATGGTGTGACCAACAGCTTCTCCCAGAGTTGGGCCGAGCAGACAGAGGTTAGACACACAATGGTTTCTTCAGATGTCAGCACACAGTGAACCTCACTGTGGTTTCGCCATAAACGCCGTAAATCAGAAGCTGCCAGCCTGACCCCTGTTAGAGTAACACTGCACTAGATTGTGTTTGATTCTGCTCATAAATGTATTTTAGACGGAAACCCTACAGTATTTTTTCTCTGTTTTTGTTTGACAAATTTTTCACAGAAAAACTGATTTATGGGAAATTAAACATTAAAAACTGGGGCTTTGTCAATCTATCTTCCATATAAAAGTACTGGTTTGTAGTGAACCTGGACTGTATCCCAGTGGGCCCTAGCCCGGGACACCGTGGATGGGACGCCAGTCTATCACAGGGCCCACACAACAGGAAATTCAGGAGCACCTGCTTTTTTAATTACATGCATTTGAACTACAGGAGCAAATCCACAGCAAACACACACCGCTTGCTGGGTCACTCCAAACAAGTCAATATTGTCGAGTCAAGTGAAAATATCAATTGCTAATCCAAAGTGCTGTACACAAAGGAGAATTAAAACAAACAAGACATATACTACAACAAAACCGACTCAATTGCTATTTAAAATAAAAGAGTTTTAGGACATGATTTAAAAGTGATAATGCATAATAGGGCACAATTCAATTAAAAATTTAGACAGCAATGAAGTCAGATCAACAATGTTACAAATTAAAACTACTGAAACTAAAAACATCAAACAGACCCAAATGCTAAGGAGTAAAAATTAGTTTTAAGCTGCAATTTAAGAGTGGTAATGCAGGGAGACTGGCAAACCGGGAAGGGCAGGGAGACTGGCAAACCGGGAAGGGCAGGCTACTCCGCAATCGGGGTCCAGGAAGAGAAAACACACAGAAGATGTGACACAGATGTGCTGCTTTGGCGTGAACAGGCTGACTGACAGGGAAAAAAATCAGTGCAAGTATGATGGATGTCGATCATCGCAATAAATATCTATCTTTGTCCATTTAGATCTGAACAAGAGAGTTTGTTGGTGATGTCAGAGGGTGACTTTTTTTCATACCAGCAACAAGATAGGTCTCTGTTCATGTGCATGTAATTAATTTTCCCTTGCATGTTTAGCATATTGCCTGACAATTAGCAAATCCCAGAGAATCTCAGCAAGTCAGCAAGAATCGTTTTTGGCACAATTCCATTGTCATGCTGCCACAGAAGAGCTAGTGAATGTGCCATCGTTCTCCAAAGTAGGCCTGGTATTTTACACCCTCCACGCTCTGCTTTCAAAAATACAAATAATACCTTCATTTATATAGTATATACTACAATTTACTAAAATCGCACTATAAAAAAGTAAGGATGATGTCTTCTTAAATAATTTATGGTTCATTTATCTTTAACACAAAATACATACATTAAAGTTCGATTATATTTTCACTTTAAACGTCTGTCCAGTATTTAAAAACGGACATTACGTGCCCCCTGTTGGAAACAAAATGAACTAATTTGTCAGTCGCATTAAAGTTCTCATTTAGCCATAGCTCCCCCTGGAGATTAAATGTGAAACTATGAATATAATCCAGCAATAATCCTCACTCTGGCTGTCATGAATCCCTAAATCCATGTTTCCGTTCGATCAGATGCTGACAAAACGAACCGCGCGTTCAGCTGCTGCTCAAAACAGTCGACAGTTTCTAAAAAAGCTAAGCGATGGAGATATTTAGCTCAGCGTGATATTTAAGCGTCAACTTCGAAATGATACAATGAAGCAATATAAAAAATAAGTCAAATAAGCATAGAATAAAACTGAGATGTTCAAAAAGAGCGAGATTAAACAAAATGGAAAGGTCCATAAACGCATGGAGATATACGGAAGCCTACGAGCGTTTTACGCAGAATTTTCTTTTGAATGATGAAATAGGCAGATATGTGCTTTTATAACACAAATGTTATTTGATCACCTCCACAGTCAGTATCTGACAGTGACACGTGACATATGATAACTTCAGGCCCTTAATAGCAGAAATTGCCGTCACCATTTACCTAGAAGTTAGCATTACACAATGTCCTTTCTCATGCTGCACGATTCTCCTCATTGGCAAACTCATACGTGCTGTGTGACAGGAGTAAATAATGTCAAATTAATGTCCTGAAATAAACCATTCATCCTAAATAAGGCAACATAAAACCATAGCCTATAAATCAACATTTATTAACACCGATATACCGATAAATAAGATATAAATGTAGTTTTTGTGTCATCGGATTTCCCACATTTAAGATTACCTTAGTGTGAAAAATATATATTTCGTTACAAAAAAAAAGTTATAAAAACGGTAACTGTAAAAGTTGATTTCTGCGTGAAAATAGCAATAGCAAGAAAAAAAAGTCCCGATCGAGTGAATGTCAAATGGTAAAGGTCCCTAGCAGAAGTAGTATTCAGAAAAGAAACCATATTTCTGTGTTGGACAGCCGTGCTGCGATTCTAATGCATCAGGCGAGAGTAGGGGACCGCGTTAGCGCTCTCGCCAAGCGGTGGCCGCACATCAAAGCCTGCGAGCAGCACGTTTGCAGCTTCGGGGCGACGCCTGGATCCTGCTTTCAGAATATTTTTTTTCGAGCTGGGCAATTTTCGGGTTTGTTGAATAAGGAGCAGAATTACATTGTGGGGCCTTTTGCTTTATTATATGTTTATAGACATATTTGGAAAGCCCCGGTCTTGCTATAAACCCTTGGTAGTCGATCATTTCCCGTTTCGTGGCTGTAAAAATACGGTAATATTTACCAAATAACGATTCGAAAAGGAGAAAAGATGGCTCGTCCCAGACCTCGGGAGTACAAAGCCGGTGATCTGGTTTTTGCGAAAATGAAAGGGTATCCACACTGGCCAGCGAGGGTAAGTATCTGACGCAGCCGAGCTCCGAAGCAGGGAGGCGGGGTTGGATGGGACAATACGACCGGCGGCTGAGCACTGGAGATGCTTGTTGTACTTGCTGCGTCCTTCTACTATTCTTTATATTTCTCAAAGGCGCTTCACGGCACAGGCCTTAAATTGCCTATATGATAGCCTAAATTCACATCCATTTTACGTTTATGCCTCGATCTACAGGCGAGTGCGTGTGTTGTGCTTTCGGAGGCATTTCTCCTGCGTTACGCAGTGGAAGTGATCGCCGTAGCGCTGTTTTTACTACCCTTTCTCCATCTTACCTATTCTAGGGGGGCGGGGAAGGGATGAGGTTGAAACATGTCGCTTGACTTTCTAAAGTTGCTCGTTCGTATTAAGAGGCCGAATCACGGCCAGCATCAATCTGTACTACCTGACTGGTAAAACCGTAAGATGAAGGCAATCGCCTGGTTTATAAGCACTCATTTAGAGGATCTCCGGCATGCACGACGGTAATGAAGCTACCCTACTGGCTTCCTCTGATTTCCGAGGTACCCAGAGCGCCAGGATCCATATACTGTAAATCAGCACATTAGAACTTATGTCAAGGGTGCAGCCCATTTGCTGACGGTAAACAGCACGGAATAACCTTATAAATGTAACGCCCTTTATATCACTAAGCGCGCGGATGTGCACTGGCACTTGTAATAACACGCTACACGTTTTTTTCTTTTTGTAACGAAAATTTTTTTTAACACCACCGCCTGACGTGTCATACTTAATCTTATTAAATTGAGTTTAAGGACAAATGGGTTGTACTTATCTCGCTAGTAAAGGTAGACGGCTTGGGGTGGGGGGCGTGGCGTGGCGGGGCCACATTTATATGTACTGTGCAATGTGCCAATGGATGGGGAAAAACGCTAAATTATCCGCTCTTTTTCGGTTATTCTAAAGTTATTCTAAATATTTTACAATAGATTATTTTAAGAAATGAGTTACTGGCGCGCAAAATAATATTAGCCTCAAACTTTCCTAAATTTATGAACACAGTATTCTATTGGTTTTTAGTGTGACAGTTTTTAGTGCACCTACCGAAGTGACACAAGCGCTATGTCTCTCAGCTGAGGTAATCAACAGGCTAACTGAATCAATTTATGCATCTTTTCCAGTATCTAGGGTCTGGCATGACAGGATTGAAAACCACTGCAAGTCCTGGAAAAGGATGCAAATCTGAGCCGCGTCTTTTTTTCTGGTGTGCGGACTGAACAAATGGTTTTCCAGGAGATCTGTGTGTGTGTGTGTGTGCAAACAGGCAGTTCCTTAACTCCAGTTTTCTGAGGCAGTGCGACTGAAGCAGAAGATGCAATAACTTTAAACAGGATATCACTGTTGATGAAGACTGCGGTCATGGGTGATGTGTAACGACGAATTTAAATGGTGATGTCACCCTGAAATAAGACAGGAAGGAGGTCGTCATTAAACAGGGGCTCGTGCTACAGAACAGTGGCATGTGGGCATTAATCGTTGATCTCGGGGGTGACAACAGGATCGTGTGGGTGAGCAAGACATCGACGGATTTTGGACGCGGGTCACGAGCGACTCGCACCGAACTCAGCGGCCTGGATGCTCACGTGGAGCGATGTCATCTTTCTCAATATGTTTGCGTCTGTCAATATTTGGCCATGGACCAAAGATCTGCACAGCTTATAAATGGCCAATACCCAGGGCTGGAGTACTCAGCCAAGTCCACACTGATAAGGGATGCCGTTTCCTGGCAAGGCCTAAGTCCACCTACTCCATTAGACAGCTGAGGTATAAGGTGGCTGAGCTCTGGAAACCCCAATCCCAGCAGGCCATGTTGGGGCAGATGGGTGCCTCAGCATTTGAGTTCCATTATTAAATCAGCATAAACGGAATGGGTTCCTTAAGACGGACCAGTGACCCGTTAAGGTCACCTCTGACCCTTGTCGACCCACCTGTGAGGGTGGATGGGTGTTCAGCTGTCAGAGGGCAGAGTTTAGACGACGTTACTTCTCGAGACTCTGTGGGTGCAACTATGAAGTTTATCAGCCCCCTCCCCCCCCACCCCAGTAAATTCATCCTTGGCATCATGTCTCACTTTAAACTTAATTTGTGCTGTCAAATTTACATGCACTGTTTTGGTGACAGTTCACTAAATCACCTGTACGTGCGCTTATTTATATATTGGACATGTAAAGCATTTTACACCAATAAAGCATAATATCATGAAATGCGAATATTGTAATATACAACAGCAGCACGATGCTCCAAGGACAGCAGGAAACTATGGTTTTGAGTATTTTCTGGTCCAGCAGGAAGAATTCTCCAGATTCTTTGTTGACAGAAGCTCTCTCGAACAAACAGGGGTCAAGGTCACAGGGGGAAAATATTAGCCTGCAATGTCTGAGGTAGGGGCGGGCAATCTTATCCACAAAGGACCTGTGTGTATGGAGGTTTTTGGGATAACCTTCAGGTCAGCTGTTCAAGCCCTGGTGTGAGGATTCTACAGCCAATCAGTCCTCTGACTAGTAATCTAATTAGGGAGCTGCAACGAAAACCCGCATACACTGCGGCCCTTTCTGGATAAGACTGGTCTAAGGAGAGACACCAGAAGAGTTGGCCATGTGTGGCACTAGCCTGTGATGACATGTGGACAGGACTGAGTACACGTTTGTTTATCCTCTGCAGAACACAGAACCTCGGAGGAGGATTAGCACACACATGAAACCCACTATTCACAGATGCTTAGCGGCACAATATATGGTAGGATTCCCCCCGACATGGGAGTCCTCGACTAATAACCATTTTTCTGACACTTTGCCAGTGGTGTTGACAGTTTATTTCTCATTGGAATATGAAACCTTAACATATCACCCATTCCCGACACTAATTCTGCCATGACAGAGAGAGACGCTTGTCTAATTGTATGGTTTAGTAGCACAATTTAAGGACTGCCTTTAAATATTTTATGGCACCCATTAAGCTGAAAATTCAGTTTTCCAAAATGATAATGCACCGTTAAGATAGTGATGTGAATGTTTAATGGGATGCATCGCAAAGTTTACAGGAAAACCATCTGCCATCTTGGTTGCCCTCTGTTGCCAAAATGAGATAACAAAGGTAGTTTTAGGCTGCCCATGTTGGTATTTCAGTTGTGGTACAGCAGCTTATTCAGAGTCATCGTTTACCTGCGTGTAACCAATGAGCCGAAATACCAGGTCTTATTATTGTGTCGAAACATCGCAGGAAAATATGGCCTCTGCTTGGTATAAATTACAAGGGAAATTATGGCCTTGCGCTCCTTCACTGCAGAGCTAACATTCATTACAAACTGATTTCCTTTCTCCTACCTTCCTGCCATGCAGGACGCAAGTTGCCACGAGCTGAAGCTTCCACATGATGAAAGTGGTGTACAGCAAGTTTGCAAGCGGTCAGCCCATGCAGTTAGCAGGGCATCTACAGGCCAGCTGCAGGCTAAATTGTGCAGTTAGCAGGGAAGCTACAGGCCAATTCCAGCCAGCTTGTGCAGTTAGTGGGGCAGCTACAGTCCAATATCAGCCCGCTCATGCAGTTCATGGGGCAGCTCCAGGCCAGGTACCAGTTAACTCATACAGTTAGTGAGGCAGCTACAGGCCAAATTGTACAGTTAGCGGGGCAGCTACAGGACAAATTGTACAGTTGGCGGGGCAGCTATAGGCCAAATTGTGCAGTTAGCACAGCATCTACTGGCCAGCAACAGGCCAACTGTGCAGTTAGCAGGGCATCTACAGGCCACCTTATGCAGTTAGCGGGGCGGCTACAGGACAGCTGGCGCACATTGTGTCACAGAAGCCAGACATGGGTCAATGTGTGGGGAGTCACTAAAGGGCTTTCCTTCTTTTCCACCTCCGCATGTCTCCGACAGATTGATGAGCTCCCAGAAGGAGCGGTGAAGCCGCCTGCCAACAAGTACCCCATCTTCTTCTTCGGCACCCATGAAACGTAAGCTTTTGGTAGATCAGGGCCTCATGAAATATCGGCCAATGAAAGTTATCGGCCATACCCCCATCCTAGACAACAACACTCTCACTCCTAGAGTGTGTGCTGACCATGGTGGCTTTCTGAGTGCTTCTAATGGAAATACATGTGTGTATGCATGTGTGTTCAGACACATGTGAGGCAGTAAAATCAGTGCGACATGACCCATTACATAGTTCTTCATATGTGAGGCCCAAATTACGGTTTACAGCCCTGTCATCCTGTTGATGACGGAGATTGTTGATAAAGTGTGGAGTGACTAACAGATTCAGTGTGGGGCCAAGTGTTCAGAAAATGTGGTGAGTATCTCTCCAGCTCCAGCTCTCTGTCTGCAGGGCATTTCTGGGCCCCAAGGACCTTCTGCCGTACAAGGAGTACAAAGATAAGTTTGGAAAGTCTAACAAGAGGAAAGGCTTCAATGAAGGATTGTGGGAAATTGAGAACAACCCCGGAGTCAAGTTCACCGGCTACCAGGTGAGCCGTGCTCTGAGTCAGCAGGCAGTGAACAATGCTTCATACCCGAGGCGTGTCCAAACAGATGTGGTCTCCCGCAGATAAACTCATTAACTGGATTAAACATGGTTATGTATCTACAGAATCAGCAAGGATTCACAAATGAACAAAATTCTCTTAGTTGGAAGCGTTCTGTGCAGGTTTCTTGGTGCGGGGATGTGTATTATGGGTTATTCACCCAAACAAAAATCCGTGGGAGGCGCTGTCAGAGCAGCAAAATGTGACGTGGGCGTGTCTCCGGCATGTAGGCCATGCAGCCCCAGAGCTCTTCGGAGACAGAGGGCGAGGGCGGCAACGCGGCGGATGGCAGCAGCGAGGGCGAGGAGGGTGACTCTGTGGAGGAAGACGGACAAGGAAAGCAGAAGGGTGACCGGGCAGGAGCCAAGCGGAAAAAGGCCGCTTCCTCCAAGGTATAGCCTGGCACGCGCCTCCGGGGGACGACTGGCCCCACCCGCCTCCGCTCCCTCTTGCCCAGGCACTGGGGCAGTTGTTGCGACTGCTAAAACTCCCATCCAGGGGGGTTCTCGTCATCGTTCGAGCAGAGCGGCAGGATTGCCGGTGATCGTGTGTCCAGCAAAGCATTTTTAGCAGAAGCGGGGAGTTATGGGTTATGTTACTCTGTATGTTTTCCCCCTCGTTGTTCAATGCTGCGTCACTGTGGTAAATTCTCACCCATAAAAGCTTCTGTCCCCGTGCAAGCGTGGAGGAACAGGCTAACATGGATGCAGCAGGCCGTCCTTAGGTAGATATAAGCTCCTAGGTACAGAAATGTCTGAGGGGGAAAATGATCCTCCTACAGTATTTCTCTGCCCAGTTCTTGCTTAGCAACCACCGTTGCCTAGCAACTGTGGGGTCTAGCATGCCCACATTTGCCAGGGAATGATATATTAGAAGAGATCTCTGTTCGGAGCTCTGGAAGGGTGATGCCAGATCACAGCGTGATGCTACTGTACGTCGGGGGGGGGGGGGGGGGAATTGGTCTCACAGCTAAGAAGGACCTACCCAGCATTTTTAGCTATGTGGCAACAGACATGTTGTTCTTTGTTTTTCATTCCGTTTTGGAGAATTAGGATTCTTAGTGTGCACCGGCAGTATGTTTCTTTCCTGAGTCAGATGCAATGGGACCCCCTCCCCCTATGTCAAACCAGCCTATGCATGAAAGCATTGCTGGGTGTCATGGTCTGTAAGGCATAGGAACCCAGTAGGGTCCAGAAACAGCACTGACCCCAGTCTTCGTATCACCCCCCCCCCCCCCCCCAGAAGTCATCCAAGTTGTCAAGGAAGTCTTCGGGCGAAGAGGAAGAGGAGGTGGACCAGGACGGGAAAGAGGACGGCCACAAGAGCAGCTCAGAGGGAGGAGACCCAAACAGCGACGTGCAGAGCGCTCCAGAGAGCAAGAAGGCCAGTCAAGGGGTAAACTCCCGACAAGTTTAAATCGAAAAAGAACAGGAAAAAAATATACAAATCTAAGAACATATCTGATATACGTACAGGCGAGAAAACACCACATTCGTCATGATTAAATGTCATTGCCGTCTATCAGCGAGCGAATCCTAAACCTCAGATTGCATTGTGAAGGTCCTGTAGCCTCCTGCCCCCCCACCTCGCCCCTCGTGTCTCCCCGGCTGAGCTGCCACTCTGCCCCATCTCCCATCCTGCTTCTGCTTTCACGCTGCCGAGCATCACTAGTATAAATGTGTGTCTCACCCCTGATCAGCCGGGCCCCGCCGTGCTGTGTTTGGTTAAGTGCTTTGTCTGTTGCCTACCAGATTAAACTTAGAGTTTTACTGTCCATCAATCTCCTTGGTGCCCAGCTGTATGCTTCCAGGAGGTCATTTTTAGCCTCCCACGCCCGCCCCCCCCTCT